AAATTCCTGGTTCATTATTCTATGGTAAGATATTTCTTTTTTTTTTTTTTAAATATATTTTAAAATAAACATTTTAATAAAAAAAAATGTGCCCCTTTTCTCCAAGACAGCATCAGCCCTGTCCTGGTATGTAGGCTGATATCCCCATGGAAGTTGCGGGGGCAGTGAGTGTACGGCTTCTGCTATGTTTTTATTGCACATTAGATTTGTGGAGGGGGATTTGGGGCTAAGAAGAGGTGTTAGCCCTCCAAAAGCACCAATGATGTTTCTCACTCTCCCAGCTAGCATTGGGGAGAGGTAATTCTCCTTCCCTGGTAAACTAGTTTTAGGGACATCTAATTAGTTTGCCATCCATGTGGGTATGAAGCAGTAAAAAGAAAGAGAAATTCTGAAATTCTTCGATTCAATGCAAAAATTAACATCTAAAATTATTAATTTGACTCCCTTTTCTTCCAGGTTACTGCAGCATTACAAATGTCCCCTAGGGAGTCTGTCACATTTGCCAGGTGGGCATTCTGCCTGGTTTTGGGACTGGGTAATGTGTAGCAAATGAGCAGCCAGCTAATGTGCTGTGAACCTGTCGCCAGTGAATTTATTGGTGCGTGTTTTATAAATCTGCCCCTATCATTTCTGTGATATCTTATGTTGACAGTTGTCAAGTGAGAGACAGTAACTGCACTGAGCCCACCGAGAACTCCCTCTAGTGGCTTATCCCTTATTTAATGATAAAATGTGGAGGAGCAAGCATATCAAAATGTTAAAATCACATACATAATATAAAATAATGTCCGTAGTAACAAATTAAAATTCCTTCTGACTGAAAATACGTTATTAAGATTATCAGAATATTTTACACTGAGTAGCACTCAAATGGCATTCCTTCCATTTATTATTGTAAAGTACATAAATTAATGTGAACCTCAGAATAGGAATCCCAGATGAATGCTTTTAATAGCTGTAGCACAGACCTTCAATGTTACATTCCCTCTCTGTCTTTCAGGAAAGATGCAGGAAGCAAAAATTACTGTGCAGCCAGCTGCGTATTCTGCGTTTTCTGCTCGAGTTCCTGCAAGAAGCCAGCACTGTTAGCTGGGAAGATACCAATCCTGAACTGCTAAGTGAGTTCCCCAATCCCTCTTTTGGTGCTGCTGATATTTGAATTAGGATGTATTTGTTAAATCGTATTGTACAGTTCTGAATTTGGGGCCATGGTAAAAGTTTTGTAGAGGGATCAAATCAGGGCTAATGTAGGTGGAAATGAAGCCTACTGGAGTAAGCGAGTGAGGGCAAAAAGACTGAAGTTGGGTTTGAAGGAACAGACTGTTGGACTGTGGAAGCAGAGGAAGAGAGCTGTTTGGTGCAAAGAGGGGCAGACAGCAGCTAAGAGTGAGTTTGTATGAGGGGAGAAAGCCACCTGGAATAAGCATGCTAGTGGATGTGTTGATATAAATAAGTCGCGGAATCTCCCTGGAGTGAGTGATCAGAAGGGTAGAGCTGCCTGGAGTCAGCAATCAGAGGACTGGAAAGCGACAGGGAGGTGGTAGTTTTAACTTTTTTTTTTTTTCTCTCAGGCCAAGAGGAAGAGAAGGTGAGACAGAAATGGAAAGGGCTTAAATTGGAGTACCAGAATAAGGTGGAGGAGGTGGAGGAACTTCTACCCCACCTGCTTGAGAAGATTCAGCTTCTTCAGGAGAAAAAGACCCAACTAGAGGACAGCTTTCAAAGGTATCAGTGCAAGGTGAGGACAAATTGGGGAAGTCTGTACTGTAATGTTACCTTTTGATTTCGGTACATATCTGAGGTTAATGAAGCAGGTTTCTTTTATTTTGTTTTGGTATAATCTACAGTTAAATATACATTTGTTGGGGGAGGCCACTGTCCCTCATTAGTAATTAGTAATTATCTAAAATAAAATATAAATGAATAAACTCACGCCAATTTAGAATTAACGGCTATAACAACTTATAAGACTTTTAATAGGAAGATACAGCTCTGAAGGTAATAAATAAATACACATTTGTTAAAAAAAAAAATAGGATAACTACGGTCTACTTTACAGAGTACTAAAAGATATTCAGTGTTTGTATTCTGTAGAGAGTGGCTGCAAATATGTGGCCAGAACTTTGCATCTAAAACTTTTGGATAGTTGACCTCATCATGCTCAGAGCGCTGTAGAGCTAGGAAGTGGGGGGGAGGGTATAAAAATAAAATCACTTAAACTAAACGTAGATAATTTAATCATAGGTAAAAATAACACAGAAAGTAGTAAAAAAGGAGACACTTGACTTGGCTTCCAATGATATTGTTACCACAGAAGCAACGTGAGTTTGGTTCTCCTTGAAGTCAGCATCCTTTGCATACATGCAGAAGATTTTTTAGGCTGTTCTTGAGTACGCAGTTCATGTACCCCAGTACTTAGTGAGAACCTGACCGGTTTTCTTTAAGGGCTTCTAGTCAAAAGTGTCAAGTACTTGTGATTGGTTCTGCTTAATAATTTCTACCTTTGGTTGGGAAGGGGGTAGGGTGACTTGGAAGAGTTATTGGAGAAACAGGTATTGCAGGATTAATGCCTGACCGATGCTGCAGGAAAGTAAGTGCTTGACTATCAGTTGGTGCATATTGGGCTATTCCGCTTGGAACATCCATACAGCCCTGGTAATTGGTGGGCACTTCCTGAGCATTCATGAAGGAGGCTGGGCTAACCCTTCTGGGCCTAATACTGTAAGCTGGTGAGCTTTATACTGCCAAGTGGGATTAAACTGTATGTACTGCTGTATTGCCAAAACCTGTATGCCTGTGTCCTGATGGGGAGATTTCCTTTCACATTCTGCCTTTTTTAGATGTAAAACCGGAAGTAGGGAGGAAATCACCCCAAAGTGAAGGAACTCCGATCTTGGACACCTGGCACCAAAACATTTGTCTATTTCAGAAGATTTTCCATCATCTCTTACTCTCATGACTACTCTACAATGTAGGATTTCCCATCACCTCTTGCTTTAAAGCAAAAGGTTTTCTTTACTTCCCCTTTCCCCTAGGGAACACACTTGCCTTGTTCCCCATACGTTCTGTTCAGCTGCTAGGAGCTTAGATATGCTTGGGTATGGAGGAGCATGTGGCTCTGCTTCCTTTCATGTGACCGCTTTGATGACTTGCCCAGTGCTGGCTACATGGGGGCATGGGGAGTGTTCAGCCTTGTGTAAGCTCCAAGTAGAGGTGAATAAAAAAAGGGGAGTATGTGCTGCTGGATTGGGAAGCATTAAAGCAAACCTATTTTTTTTTTGTTTTTACCCTGTATGGGCAAAGCATATATTTGCTTTTAATGCTGCTTCCCCAATCATTTAAAAAAAAAAACAGTTTTCTTAAAATTTTATGCATTTTTTTTTCCCTTAAATGTCATTATTTTAAATATTGGTAAATTTACCAAAGTAGTGGGTGTTTAAAAGTAAAGAAATGATGTCCCACCTAAATTGACTCTTTTTATTCAAGGCCCTTTTATATGCAACAATGTAAAATGGACAACTAGAAGATGACCTGACCTATAAAATGACTGTCTGCTGTTTATGTAACTGATTTAGTTTAAGGAGCTATTTTTTGCTTTCTAACTTTTATTTTGTTCCTTTTGCTTTCCTTCCATCCAGAGAACAATTAAAGAAAACCAGGTATGTTGGCTCTACCTGTTGCTTGTTCTCCGGTAATATTTCATTATATCTTCTTTTCTACCCCCATCCTCTACCTTTTTTATTTCTTTCTTCCCAGGCTAAGCAGGAGCTGGATGAAGCACTAAAGAAGCAGCAGCAGGCGGTACAGAAATGTCAGGACCATATTCAGCTGCTAAAGGTCGAGGTGGAGAAACTGGAGCAATCGGTGGATAGCTGGATTCGAGCTGTGGACAAGTAAGATGCAAGAGAACTCAGTGGCATCCATTATCAGTATCTGATTGGTGATACAATTCATCACCTAGCTCTTTTTCTTCCTTTGGAATAAGTTACACTGTATAACAAGAAGTCTAACTATAAGCAGCAGACACCTTATGGAAGCATTCTACCCTTATAACAAATAGACCATTTAAGCTCCCCAAACAAGGCGCAATCTGACCGTACAACGAACTTTAGATTTGCCAAAACTTTGTAATATGAGGACCTACATAAATTATCCCATTAATCTGTATCCAATCAGGCAAGACCTTGAACTACCTAGTTCTTGGTATATGTAGAGTAGTGTGTGTGTGTGTGTGTGTGTGTGTGTGTGTGTGTGTGTGTGTATATGTATATAATGTGTGTGTTGAGAGTTACACTTAAACTTCCTGTTCTGTCTGACACTGATCAGCTGTTGGAAATCTAGTGGGGACACAGTCAGCAAATAGTTTGATGGAGTTTCTTTCCCTTCTCCACTATGAAAAAAAAACCAAGGGTGTGCCCTCGCTTCCTATTTTGTCTGAAACTAAGAAAAAAAAGTTTAGTTGTACTGAAGGCTTACTAATATTATTTTTTTGCAATATTAAGCTATTATAGTTTGAAGATGACGTAGAGCCAAGTGGCATTTGAGGGTTCTTGAAATCCAACCGTTTCTGCCCAGTCCTTATAACACATGCTGCCTTCCAGCTTATAATTACCAATAACTGCATCAAATGCACAGCCCTGTAGTTGTTTTACATTCCCCTAGCTACAGGGCTCTGTCATTAGATGATAATATTATACACACTCAAGAGACAGGCTGTGTCATTAGCATGGGTTTCAGCAGTAGGCAAAGAAGCAATGGTCAGCCTTCAGTTGACCTCTAATTCTCCTATTACCTAGAGTCATCCTTCAGCAAGGGGCCAAATGCAAATGTTCTGTGGCTAAGCGTGCACATTTATGATCTAAGCCTGAATAATCATATTCTTGCATAAGCCCAATTGTGAATGGTTTGTAGTGAGTAGCTGTTGCAAAAATCAAGTGAAGGCAAATTACACAGTCCTTTTGTGCAATGAAGGAGCATCTAGTAGGTGGTCATCTGACACCCTTTAAATGGTACCTGTCCGCACTATACTGATGTAGACTTGTCTGCAACCTATTTTATTTCCTAGGGATTCTACACACCTTGATCTCCTGAACACTCTGCAGGGAATGTCAGTAGTGTCTGTTGGGGACAAGGAGCTGGTTCTAGATTTGTATGCTGGAGAAACAACGGCCGTTACCCCTTTGAGGGTTAACGTACACTTGACATCAGAAGGACAATTTCACATGAAGGTGAGGGAGAAGATGATTAACAATGTGGTCTATATACTGTATATCTTACTAATGTAGGCACGGTGGTACCCATGCAGATAATTCTTACATGTTCAAAGCTAAACACACAGGTTTGTTAAATTTAAACTTAGACTAATAGTTGAAGTTTGTTTTTTTGATATTTTTTGCAAATATTACAGCTTATTTTTTTATAGAATACAGTGGGGAAGGTTTAAACTATTTTAGTCTTTATTGATGTCTTTGTGTTGCTGGAGAGTGGTAGTAGGGTGTTGCAGGAACTCAGGAAAAGTTTCCCAATGGGCGCACAGACAAAACATTTAATGTATGTCCTCCAAGATAAAAACTGTACTTACATGGCCACAATGCGGTCAGCAGCCACATTACATGTAGACCAGATTCTTCAGAGCCAAGTAAGTAGCATTATTAGAGCAAGGAACCAGTGATCATTTGCAAATCTTAATAAATCCTGCATTACCTTGTGGGACATCTCTCTGCCTTATTTGCCAATGAGTACACATTGAGATGCATTGTTTTTTCAGACTGAAGACTCCATGCCTGGCCTACCCTCGGAGCTACAGCGTGGGGACACCTCTCATATCACATCTGTTATCATGGAGTTGCAATGTTGGCATAGAAGCCATGGCCAACTCCTGGCAGAGATGAGAGATTTGCAGGACAGGTAAAATACAGTACAATATATAATACAATGTTCTGCTTCTGTGTCTGCAATGTTATCATTGTGCAATATTTGAGCTGTGTAGTGTTTGTAAAGATACTGATTTGTCTTGGTAAGATCACACAATTACCTGGTATAAAGTGGGCCTCTGTTCCAAAGAAATGTGATCATTATGGTTTAAAAATAAAGCTCTGTTACAATTCAGTAAAGGATACCAAAATGAAACATTTGCAACACCAGAGAGCAGTTCTTTTAAAGAACACTCTCATAAGCAACATGTTATGTCTTTTATGATAAACATGTAGACTGCCACTGCTGAGCTCTCTTGAAAATGCGAATTGCCTTGTCACGCTGACCCTCTTCAATACTCTGACACAAAACAAGAATGCAGATGAGCGCCATATTATCTGACCTTTAAAGATCTTCATACGTCTTCCAGGTCATTGACTGAGTGTGTCAGCCAGAGGCTCAGCAGACAGCCAGTTAACAAGCATTTTAAGGAGGCCAGCATGGTAGTCATCTTTTCTTTTTATTATAACAGGTTTACTTTTTGGGGAAAAAATATGGGACTTTGCTCATTTACGTTCAAGTTCTCTAGAAAAGATCCTACACTCGTATTGCTCCTCTGCGCTCTCCCCCACCAAGTCTAATTTCTGTAAGCTTCCTGTCAGGCTGTCATGAGAGTGTGGCTGTCTCCCTTCATTTACATGACATTGGTTGGGTCTGGTGATTGGCTGCTCTATCCCGAGAACTGCTTTCATAGAGGAAATGGAAAAATGTCACATGCTCCCCCATAACCACAAGTACTAGTGCATTAGACAGACTAGCTGAGCAGGGAGGGTAAGTATCACCATCTATGAGAAACAAAGAGAAACTCTTTGTTTTTAAAAGGCAGTGTAGGGAGCACCCTATTTGGCAACACAAAGAGGCCTGATCTGATTGGTGATGCATCAAGGAGAGGAAGCTGCATTTGACAGATTCAGGAAGCAGACCCACCCTACTAGCATCCTCCTGTGACCCAAAGCTCAGTATAAAGCGACCTACAGCTCGCAGTATACTGAGACCGCTGCAGCCGGGACGGATCCCGACATTACTGTCGAGATCCACCCAGCTGCGTGAATAACAGTGGGCTCTGCCCATCTAGCGGCAGAGCCAGCTGTACTCGCCCCCTCCCTGTCCGTTCCTCCAGTCAACGCTGGAGGAGCGGGGAGGGGGGGAACCCCTGCGGGGAGCTGTGACTGACAGTCACCGCTCTGCAGGGAGATGATCGAAAAGGGAGCGAGCGATGGTATGCATTCACTCACTTCCCGATCTATTGAGCCAACGTGTGACTCTTCACTCACCTCATAGTTCTCCTTTTAAGCACTTTTGCAGTTTTTGCTGGATGGCATTAGCAGCTTGTGATTTTGGACATTCTCCACCAGATGAACTAATGCCATTGCTCTCGCATAACCTGTATGGATTTCAAGTTACAGCTTTTCTGTTCACAATCATCTACCTTAAAGTATGCCTGTTACTAATTACCTTATTTGTTCTGGGTCAGTGACTCAATCTGAATCCGGTGATCACTGGGTAACTGCTGCAATAAGCCAGGTGTAGCAGCGCCTATATTTTTACACACGAAGGGTTCACTCCTATTGGGTGGTTAGCTTCATAAGCAGGTTGTTGCAATTATTAGTTGTCAGTCTGCTGGCACAGCTCAGTGTGAATTCTCAGGTTTTTAGGGGGCACCTTGGCCCTGTTTCAGTTCATAGTTTAGAGAATGAAATGTGCAGCTTTTGTAGATGACATTTACATTAGCAGATGCATGTGCGTGGAGCCTTTTTACTCTCAAAATGACCAATCGGACAAGTTTTATCTAAAGTTAGGAGAAATAAGCTCATCCTGTCTTGAAGTTTTATTTTTCTATATTGATGTTTTGCTGTTAAATCTTTAGGTTTGCCATTGACTGGCTCCCAGTAGAACGGCAGATCCTCCTACTGAAGGGCAGCACTCGGTACACTTTACATGTGGAGCCCGGTTATCCTCAGAGTGGAAGAGTCAATTTGTTATCTGTCAAGGGATTGGAGACAGGTCCTCTTTCCAGTCATTTCAAGGTAAACATCAGACTTCTATGGGAAGTTAATTCTATAACTAAGCCTAATAAGTGTCATTTGTTTTTTGTCCTCAGCCTCCGGGTGAGCGCCCATCATTGAGCGCATGGCTGGAATATTTGCAGACTTCACCCCAGCTTGGCAGATAATGCAGATTATACGGTCTGTACAGAACAGGCCCCGTCAGTAAGTGCTCCTCACACAAATAGCTGCGTATCCCTGTTGGACTATATCTGTAATTGTTAAGCTTAAACTAAAAAAGTCTTATTTTGTTTACTGCTACAATTACATTCGGAGACTGAACATCCGCACTACAAAACTAAAGGAGATTTGCTCCCACTGTGCCACTCCACACCAGAACAATGAACGGCCGTGTCAGCCGAACCCCTGCATGGGAGACTTTGCCAGCCTTTCTGACATGTAGCTGAGTATGTGCCAGACAGGAGATCCTGTTACATGCTCAATTAAACCTCCTGACTGAGCAAATTCTACAACTCCCCAGCCTGGCGCACTGGAGCTCCACAATCCCCTGATTCTCCTTCACTGATGCAAAAGAACTGGCACAGAGGGGTTAATCCAATGGTGAGGAGCAAGCTTGGATAAATTGGATTAAAGGTTTTTAAAGAAGGGGAGAGGGTGGTGACTGGGATTAATGCACAGAGGGATTTCAAACCCACGCATGCTTCGGATAAGAAACTACTACGACTCGAAATAATTAAACTGGTTACAAGCACAGAGCTAATTATTCTGATCATTGGAGTCCAGAATGTATCCATCAGAATTTAAGATGGAGAATTTTTGTCATTTTAAAATCTCTATCTCTGTGTGTGTTCTTCTTAAAGCTGAACTCCAGGGGAAAAAAAAAAAGAAAAATACCTTTGCAATGGGACCCCAAGACTGCAAGGGTTAAATGCATGTTTCTGCCTAGGGGTAGAGGAATAAGGTGTAATACTTACCTTATACCATGCTCCAGTGCTCTATTCTTCCTGATGTTTCAGGTTATGGGCGGTTCCTGGTTGTTCTCGCATACTATGCAGGGCTAATCATACTTGATAACGTCGCCGTGCAACTCACGGCTGGGAGCCCCTCAGAGAAGAGGCTTTGGGGACTGTTCACACAGATGGAGGTCACCTGCCAGAGTAGGGAATAGGGTAAGTATGACACCTTATCCCCCTCAGCAAAAACAAGCATTTAACTCTTGCAGTGTGGGGGGCAGTTTTTTTGGGTTGTTTTTACTCCCAGAGTTCAGCTTTAAAGCAAACCTGCCGCGTAAAAAAAACTGCTTTCCGGTGTAAAGTACAAGCACGTAGAGCTGCACATACTTGAAGAAGCCTCAAAGCCCATCTGTTATCCTCTAGTGTAATGGACAAAGCTCCACCACTTCCTAAAAGTGGTGAAGCTTGCCTGCCCTATCACACACATTTGTGCTAGCCTGAAAGACAGACAATCATATTACCGTAGCAGGCCAATGTGTGGAAAGATATTGGCAAGCTTTAACACTACCAGGTAGTATCGGAGCTTTGCTCATTGGAATAGCCTGGTGTTCTTAAGTTATTGATGGGTTTTGAGGCTGCCATGGTTATGTTTAGGCTCCTCTAGGTACCTGCACGTTACACCTAATAGCAGTTCCTCACCTATGGCAGAGTTGATCTAAAGTGAACTTGTTTGTTACTTGGACAAGGAAAGCACATTATCCCCTGTCGGCATCTGCAGCTGCAAGCCCCAGCAACTGACTGATTAGACACCAAGCATTGCAATGTGGAGGGGGGTCACTTGTTTCCCCACACCCAGAGGTACTGTATTATTCATTAGCTTTGGCAGCGGAAGCATAGGGAAGGAAGAATAAACTTGTAATAATAAACATGTGTTGTCTAGTAAAATACAGTTTAACCTTGAAAAGCTTATCAATTTCCTGTTGTGTTTACTTTTTTGATGCCTATTAATAAAAGTTAAACTTGAACTCCATGTAAACTGCTGAATACACAGTTAAAATATGTATATATGGGGTGTTCCCTGACAAAGCATTTGTAATTCTGTTTAGTTAATTTTGTGATTTCATAAATTTCTGCTGAACAGATGGGGAGATCCCTTTTGCTTCTTCTGGTTCACATTTGCTGCTCACTGGACTACCTCCCTGCTCATTGGAAAGAGATGACAATATGGACTTACTCACTGTTCAATGGGCTTGCTGAAGGTAGACAAGCTGCAAAGCCAAAAACCATAAGGGTTGCCTGCTTAAATATGCAGTGCAGTAATTATAATGGCTCTGGGGAGGTTTTTTTTTTTCTTTAGAGGTCCTACAACTGTAGGGAGGGGGGTTGTGCTAGGCAGGGGCATGAGTCACTCCCTTAACTCATTCGGGTGTGTTAATCCAAGCTTCAGCTACTGAGCTCTGTAAATTGCATTTTTGGTTTTTTTTTTTCTTTTCTGCAAAGCAGTAAAGGTTAGCCTGATTGACATGTGAAAAGAACACTAGAGCACCATCTGCAGGCTGAATTTTTTTTATATCTAGACCGTAAATATAGGATACATTGTAATCAGCTTTTTAAATGGCCTATATATTAGTTAATATTTTAAGCCTGCATGTGGAGATCTGGCCTCCTTTTTTACATGTTAACCAGGCCCTTGGTAGAGATATATTCCAGAGGGTGACTGCGGTTTTGAATTAATAAAGTCATTTAAACACACCCCCCCCCCCCCCCCCCCCCCAAAATTATGTATTGTGCGAAAAATAATCATGCAAATAAATCAAAAACTTAAAAAAAAACACTATACTGAAAGTCAAATCAAATTATTGCATTGAAAAGAAAAAAAGTCTAGACAAAAATGTAAAAAAAAAAAAATGAACATGTACCTTCTCTAGGGCAGCCTTTCTGAACCAGTGTGCCTTCTGGCCTTCAAATTTTCAGTGTCATGCTTTTCCATGGTGCAAACGAGCGCGCCACCTGCACCATGAAAATGTATGACGGTAATCCATTGCATGCGGCATCCAAAAGCTGACTGAGCATTCAGAAGAGAACTCCACCTCAATCAAGACCTGCTGTGTCATTGTGAACATTATAAGGTAGGACTCTGATAAAGGGATGAGATCTCCATTGTCCAGTTACCTTCCCCAATTAATGTACCAGACCCATCACATTTGTTACTTTCTTCTTTTGAACCTGTCACTACAAAGCTTTTCTCTGAAACACACCTCAACACTTACCTGCTGGACCCTGTTCCCTCAGCACTACTCCTGTCACTCTCTATCCTACACTTGCTCACATTTTCAATCTTTCCCTCTCCTCTAAAACATGCACTGGTCACCCCAATACCCAAAGAACCCTCACTGGACCCTAACAATCTCAGACCAATCTCCTTACTCCCATTTACCTCCTAACTTCTAGAATCCCTAATCTACAACTGGCTGAGCTGGGTGTGATCCTTGATTCCGACTTCACCTTTCTGCCTCACATCCAATCCACTATCCAAATCCTGCCGCCGCGTAACCAATGAAAGCACAAAGCTACTCATCCACTGGTTATCTCTCATCTATACTATTGCAACTCCCTCCTCATTGGCCTTCCACTACACAGGCTATCCTCCCTTCAGTCTATCATGAATGCTGCTGATAAATTGTAAGTAAAACAAAAATATGTTTGTTTAGCTAGCAAATGAATGCAAGATGATTTCATATCGGCATGCAGAGCTGTATGCTGATGTAATTTTTAGTTAAAGGGGTAAATGTCCACTTGTATTTTTGGTGGCCGTAGCGTCGGCAAAGAGTGCCGCAGATACAGGCTCTAGGGAACTCTGAGCCCTATTTGACTTTCTACCTGGACAGAGTAGTTCTTCAGCCTATTCATGAGTTTGTTCCAAAAGTCCCTACGTCTTTTTACTGCTTCCTGCTTTTCATATTGAAGAGGATCCAGCAATTCTGCATGAGTTAGACTTTTCAAGGGCAATTAAGCATATCTGTGGCCAAAGAATTCAGAAAATCAAACAGGCTTTTTGTCATTCCTAAAGGAACCAGGAAAGGATAACCAGCCTCATCCCATTCCATCACCAACTGGATCACAGACCTGATTCCTCGAGTGTGCAAGGCTAATGGCATATCTCCTGCACATTCGATTAGAGGTGTGGCAAGCACTTTGAATACAGCCTGTCTGGCCAGAAGTTTTGTTAAAGGAACCACCTGAAGTCAGTGAGACTTGAAAATGTTTTTTTGATGACAGGGAAAAAAAAAAAAAATACTTTGTTTTCAAAAACCCCTGCAAGGGAACACCTGTGTAGACTTTTCTTTTAAGTTAATAAAAGTGGATAAAGAAGCCCTTTAAAAAAAATGTGTAGCGAGTGGAGGTGTCTTTAATGCGCTTTCGTTTGGCGCTAATTCTCACAGTATGGATATATACTGTGTGTGTGTGTGTATATTTATGTATGTATATGTGTAATATATTTAGTGTGTGCATATTGTGATTTTTGGGGAAGTTAGCACAAAAGGTGACTTCTGGGAGGAGTCCTGACTCCTGAACACCTCTGTTCCTCTTCCCAGCAGGAGCCCAGAACATTAGCCAGCACCCTTCCCATAAGTGGTGTGCAATTAGGTGCTGGCCAAAACTAAACAATGGACCCAGGAATGGACATTTCATCCCTCCCAAGTCTCTTTGAAATCTCCCAGTTCCAGGATCCCATGCTAAATCCAGAAAACCTGGAGAGAACTGCAAAGCTAGTTCTTTCCCAGGCTGAGAGTCCTGAGTGGCTACAACCCCCAGTTCTACTGTGGGATTGCAACACTATATATATTTATGCATGTCGTTGCAAAGTTGGGTTGTTTTGAGGTGCATTTTTCAAAGGAACAGTTATTTCTGTGCATTACAATATATAAAACTTCTGAATAGTGCCTTTTACATGCAGAACCAGCTATATGGAACCTGCACCATGTCAAATCTTCAGGTATACTGCTGCAAACAACAATTAAGAAAAGAATGGAGCACATCTAAACCCAAATGACAAGAGGTACAGCATTGTTCTTGTGCATCAAGTGCAGTATTAAGGTTTGGTGCAGTGTGCTAAGACCACCAAAGGTAAGGGTTGTCATTTGTTTGTTGGGGGTTTTTTTATTCCCACAGAACGGATTGGACATTTTCTGAGATGGCATTGGATCTATTTACATTAGCAGTTTAGATGTAAAAGGTGTTAACAGAGTTCTTCTTTAAGCAGTGTTATCAGTGAAAATCTTCTCTTTGCCTATGCTATTGGGATGTATTTATGGCTCATTTTGTAGCTGTAGTGTTCTGTTAAGAATTCTTTTAAAGCAGGGCTCTTTCATTCTAAATGACCTTGCTTGCTGAGTGTGTTTTTTCTTTTCTGTTCACCCTGTTATGAAGTTGCAGCATATCTGTGTTGGCTTTCACCTTGAGACCTTGGATATGTTAGAAAATAATTATGTTCCCTGAGCCAGGTTTCTTTTCAACTAACACTAGAATAGATTATTTGCTTGGTAACCGCTCATTCTGCACATTGTACAGTCCTTGAACCGCATCATTTTACAGTTCTTGTACCTTATTCAAAAGGCTACACTCCACAATCATGTGACTTTTTTTGCTTATATCTTACTAAACATGTAACCCAATAATAGTTTAACATAAGCAGTCACTTCACCCAAACCCAGTAGTGCACTTGTCCAGAAGATGCTGGAAAATTTTAAAACCCAATTTCCAGTCCCCTCCCCCCATGTGATTTTTATTTTTT